ATTCATTCACTTACTCGAGTCATGTTTCCATCTCGAGATGCCTCAATATGTGAGGCTGCACTGGCCTCGATTTTGTCCCAGCGACTCCGTCTGTGTGGCATGGGCTCAATAAAGGGCCTGTGAATAGATTGAAATTTAATCTCGTAATTATTTTCAAGTTAGAAGGTCCTTGGTTTCATTAATCTAGGGACATGACCCTTGACCTGTATATGTACATGATAACCTAGGTGTGCGTAACCTTAGCCTCCTGACCTCGCTGTGATCCCTCACGATGCATCCTTAATGCTAATGTAGCTGGACCCGGCTGCACCAGCATATATTGGCCGTCTTCGGAAGGATATGTCACTTGTCCGTGTAACAGTCTGTTCCCAGTAAGGGGCCCCCGAGTCGTCAGGCGACTCCGGATTAGGAACCAAATACTTGCGGCTTCAAGCTCCCCCGTCCTATCAATGGATTGGACTCGGCACAGGAAACAGAATGCGAAGGTCAAAAATGTTTGTTACGTACCAAAATGGCAAGAGCAACGGACCCTGAAACGAGACAAAGCACCGGAAATAGCACGCCGACATATGCGCAACGCCCCGACGTCCATTTACTCGAGCGTTCCGGTGTCTTAAACGGGAATTTGAGAGACAACATCCGACGTGGCGAATGCTTCCACGTTAGTGTCCGCAGCTCCTCAAGCTGGATAGCTGCTTGGAAACAAGTTCCACCGCTGTATTCACCAGATCATTCAGTGGCTATCGAGTATCACGATGGGTATAGCGGCTTCGCAGATCTTGCGCAAGCAGCCATCGCTTCGGATGCGAACCGTTTCCTCTCAGCGAATAGTTTTATCGATACACACTCGGGCGTCTCTACGGCGGTCTCTGGGCCGAATACTGTGGATCGAACGAGTGAGACTGCGGCTCTTTTATGAGCTCACGGTATTGTTATGATCGTGGTGTTTCGGATCGGCTTTCCGGCCGCATCCTCCATCATGTTATGGGTTGGCATGTGGAAAATCCACGCTGGCTGGCAACTACTATCCTATGTCGGGTGATGTTGCGGATTTGCCATTGGAGTTATTATTTCCCCGCGATACCTGGCCTACTAGAGTTATAGCTTTTCCAAGATAGCCATACTCGACTTGGTGTCAGAGTGCCTGCTCCCATGGTCATACAGCCTGATGGCTACACCACGTACACTACTGCAAGTACCAGGAGCGTGGTATCGTCAGTCACATCCATGTATGGTACGGCCGCTACCTCATGTGCCTTGACATAGTGGCTGGGTTAGTCACATCATTTTACTGTGTCAGCATCATTTTGGCCGCAGGAAAAATAACGTTATTATAGGCAAAGCTGCGAATACATAAATGTTGTCAGACCGGAGGAGTCGAGGTTGTACTCTGCCCTATTCCAAACCAATGGGGCCCCGTAGTCTAGCGTCTAGTTGAATCCAATCCAGGTTGGTGGTGTGCTACTAGGCAGTTGCAAGAACGTCATATGCAGGATAATTACTGTACACTTATTCCACTTGGCTGCTGGTCTTTGTACAAAAGTAGTGCTGTGTACGTTTATACATGACTAGTTTTTGGCAGGACCTTAAGTACGTAGAGAATCATTTATTTATAGAAAAGAAATGACAGTACGACTTATCTGCCAAGCTGAGTATGTTGACAACAACCCACCTACACAGGGGGCTACTGCAAGATTCTCAAACCTGAAGCAGGAGAAAATAGAATGTGGCAAAGGGGGCTCGAACAGGCCGGTGTGAGATTACAAGCCCAGCCGCCTCTGAAACTGGACCCTTGAGCTGCGAATCAATTAGTATTAAAGTAGAGTTTGGTCCCAAGACTACCGTTCTTGAGCTTTGTACCACTTTTTAAAAAGCTGACGCAGTGCTATAGAGTCAAGCTAATTATATGGATGTACCTACTACGGCGCACTTTTCTCCCCATCACTGCGTCTAAGAGATGATTCACCTTGCGCAAAGTTGCCAACCTCGTTAGAAATTGGGTTCTCCTGCAAAGATCTTATCAAAAGGACAAGAGCATATTTACATAAATACTTTCTTTAAAACACAATCATTCGCATGCTGTCTATATTTACACGGGCTCGAGGCGTGACAGCATTTTGTCCCTTTCATGCCGTTATTTCTCAAATAGAACGACGATTCAAAGGCCCACCTGGAGGTGTTTTAGATTGACGACTCTTTCTAGATATGTGCACAGTTCTCTGCGCCCAGATCCCACCGGGTTCAAGCTCGTGTGCAACGGCTAACGTAGGAGCCCATTTCGACCCTTTATTCCAGCCCCGGTTGCAGATCGCCCAAGAGCGATTAAAGCAAGAGCGACTTCGGCCTGAAGGCTCGCCGGCGGCGCAGGCTTCACTGAGCTCGTCGGTGGCTTGGTGAGTATTCGCAACGCCATTTTCAGCCTTCTTTTCACTTGATAAGTTTATTCTGTTGGAACTCTCATTTGATTTCTGCCAGTAACAGCAGAGCGACCAGTGTGGCCGGACAGAAGGAAGACATCCTGCTATTATGCCTACAGAGGGTTCTATTATGGACCACATGGCTACGTCCCTGCTACCGATTAGCCGAAATAAGGTTAAAAACTGGTTTGATTATTTAACTAAACTTACACGGTCTCATATAGAAAGCCTGGCGATATATCTAAGTCTCGAATACACGGTATGCGTATTAGCATCACAACACCAGGTCTAAGTAGTTCGGTTAGCTGGAAACGTAACTGTGCCAATAAGCAGCTTTGGGCAGACCATGTGGATCGTCGCACGCCCTTGACATCTCGAAGTCTTTGAACTTCATCCAGAAACAGACGGGGGACTGCATTGAAACAAGGTAATGAAGAAATATATGACAGCAAAGACATGTATTATGCCGAGAGACACATAGAGAACCCACTTCTCATAGTTAGATAGTTATAGTGGTAAGCGGAAAAGAAGCAGGGCGACTGAGGTTCTTACTAAGGCAGTCAAGGGTTTGTATATTACCTCGCAAATCAGCCAGGAACGAAAAGCAAGGTAGATTTCCTCAGGTGTGATATCTGACAAGTGCTTGCCAATCCCGCCAGAAATGATGCCTTCAATAGCACATATTGCGAGAGTGAATCTATCTGAGCTAGCTTGATCTATTCATTCGGAGACTGAACGATGAGCAGCTTCCGGCCTTTGTCCGTCATGGCACCCATCTTGCTTATGACGCCAGACTTTATCGACACGTTTATCTGATATGTGCTGCGGCCCAACGCAAAATTCCCTTGAAGCTTGTCGTCACCTATCTGAACTGTGGGTCGGTCATAGGGCTCTTCGCAACCAACATAGACCGGCTGAAGAAGGGTTGATGATAAAGTATTCATCGTGGAGGGCGAAATAATAAGACTGGTACCCGTAGGTATAATGGGAAAATCTCGTACACTTGATTACTCCAGAAAGAAGCGCAATTATCCTTTTGTAGTGAGCAGCAAACTACGTACGTAGAAAAATTGTTTGCCCGTTGTATGGTAGTCATCACCTTGTCTAGGAGGTTTGATTAGCAAAGTAATTATTTATTGTCACACGGTTAGGTCAATCCAGGATTAAAAGCCCTTTGGTACACAGCAGGATCACGAGAACTATGGGGCACACTAGGCACGGGCCGTTCCGTTCATGTATATAAGATGGTCTCCCCTCGTCTTTTGGCTTGAGAAAACCAATGACCTTTAACACCCTACAAGATTATCCTTGAATCGAGTTATTTGCTCCAATCCCTCGCTCACGAGCTGTCACATTTACATATTTCTCAAATACTATCTATAACTGCCCACGCGTAACACAGTTCCACATACAAGCAATTGCCTCATTTCCGATTCAATCTCCTTATCAGCTACCTGAGCTCGTACCGACCAGTCAAACCCTCCGGACCTGACGATTCCTCCTCCTGCCCTTCTAATAGCTTTCCTCGGGCCTGTGGCCGTTCATAATACACAAAACGGCAATGATGTAAACGGGCACACTTACATCCGGCCCAAGCGGCCCTTGAATTTTTCTGACAGGCTTGAATAGAAGCAGTAGTACTTAGAACAGGGACAACAGACGTATTATACTCCCTATTCAAGACGCTGATGTCGTATTCGAGCCTGGTATCATCGTGAAAGCGATATTGTAACACTTTAGACTTATTAATTCTTCCAGAAAGATGGCACTCATTCACCCCTAGACCGTTAAAGTAGCACCGAAAAACATATGTATGATGTAGTTGATGTAAGTCACGTTTGGCTGGAAACATGGCTCTTTATAACAGTGTAGGGATTAGGATTCGGTTACCGGATCAACGGCTAAAGCGGCAAACATATATAGCAACGTCTTGGAAAGCTTTATCCCAAATGAATTGGCTATAAGTGTTCTAAATAACGAATACCATTTGCCGACATCATCTCGACCACAGTATATATGCCATGGTGCATGTCCACTTTTGCCATGAAGCACAAGCCATGGTCGTGGCTATATGTAGCTGTTGTAAAATGGCCAAGAACGCCTGGAACGCCGGAAACTGTGTGCGTATGTCGGGTGAAGAGTACAGAACGGTAAATATAGCGGTTGGAACGGTGCTTCATCTGTAAGAGAATATGAATGTTAGTGTTGTGATAATCACCACCCAGGACGTGGCCTTGTCAAACCCGGCCAAACGCGCCCGCGCACCAGTTGCCCTGATTGGTTGGAACAAGGTTACCCCGACCACTGCGCACTGATTTAGTTGAGGTTTCAGAGATGCAATCCATTTTGACATGCGCGAGATCCCTACAGCGCAACGAGAGAGAGACTGAGAGCCCGAAGAAATGTAGACTACGGGGTGGAAGAAGTAAAGTGCGGGAATTCCGACAAGGACCTGCATCCAGCACAGCAATATTTTGTTTGTAATTGCTACCAACATTAGTATTGTTCCCATCTTCTATTCTCTTGATCTCGTATCGTGGGCCCCATTTGTAGTTTCCTTCTTTGGGGAGAACGAGGCTGCTCTTATCTAGCTTGCACAAAGTTAATGACATCGTTGTAAAACCCAATCCTTCCATCGATTTGATACAGCCACATAGCATGTGCTAAATTCTGCACAGCGGAGTTACCAAGCGTTGCAGACAAATGATCGTCAAGTCCTCGAGATGCCTCCGCCGTCTTAACTAACTTGATATAATTCTCACGCTCCGCCAACCGCTTACGATCCGTCTCGTCTTCTTGGTAGAGTGGTCCGTCTAAAGCCGGCGGCAACCTGCCTAGATCCTTAGCAAATTCTACCATCTCCCATGGCAGAATACATGAATCTTCCCAGTCAATGACATAATATTGAGAGGCAAGAACGATGTTGCTGCGGTATAGATCAGTGTGAAAGAGGGGGAATGGGCCTGTTCGGAAGCTATATTCCTTTGCAAGCTCCTTGAGTCTGGACGGGAATGATCTGATTGACTCTAGTATCTCATCGACCAACTGTGGAGGTGTCCGTTCACGGATGGTCTTTTCAGAGTAAGGAAACTTGAGGTGGTCAGCCCAGGCTTCCAAAAATTGCGCTGGTGAATCAAAGGGACCGCCGACCCCAGGGAGCGGTCCTACGCAGTACGTCCCGTTGGAAGCCTTGACGATGCCTCCAATCTGGGGAAAGCGTATAGCTGACATTTGGACCTAGATTCCAGAGGGTTAGGCGGCTCCACTAAGAATAGTCATCATGTCATACCTGAATGTCTGCCAATGTAGCATGGAAATCTGGTGTAAAGTTCTCGGGAATCTTCCCCTTGTGAACTTCGTAGCCGCCAAATGAATCCATAATTGTATCTCCGGGTAAAAACTCCATGAGCATAAATGGGGCACCAAAAACGTTATCATAATTGGCCTCATAAGCATAAACTTCGGGGACAGGAATCTCTGATCGCTCTCGGACCACTGACATTGTATGGACTTCTTGCTCTAAGCGTTGGATTGACTCTGGTGTTGGGTTGTGTAATTGGATTCGTACGAGCCAACAGGCGCCGTCCTGGAAGTGGAGACGTCGAACTAGGTTTCTACCGCCTTTATTGTATTCAACAGAGAGCTGGCAGGTAAATGGAATGTCTCTTTTCTCGAGCTTCTGCCTGGTGACTTTGGCATATTGTAGAAGAGCCTCCCAGTCAACAGCACCGAGTGGAACCTCGTCGACATCTGTATTTGCCCAGTTGAGCACAGGGGCAGCATTGCTCGATAGATTTCCACTCATATCGAAGATCGACTCGGCAGGAGGAGAGGCGCTGGCAGGATAGAAAGGACAAACCAAGTCCTTTTTGCTGGCACTCAGCGTGGCTATATATGAATAAGCGACAGCGTAATTTCGGTATCGCCTGGCGTGGAACCGTTCGTTGCTGACTTCCGTGAATACATCTGGGGCAAAATACCGAGGGACAAAAATCACATTTCGGTGTGAGCTGGCTAAACTTCGGTCGTGGCGTTTCCCAAAGCAGTTGTGGAATGCTTTGAAGCACAGAGGCGAATTGTAACGGCACAAGATACGTAACAAACTTGTCTCCCAACCCACAAGTAGCATTTAAATATCGACTAGTATAGTACTCTAAATTCTTGACTATATACGAGGACTAGTAGACTAGTAGCCTTTGTTTCAATCATCGTTTTCCGGGCGCGTCCATACACCGGAGTGGTGTGCGGTTTTATCCACAATCTATCCTCACAAGGCGGTTGGATATCACCAATCCTTTTCAGCAAGCGTAGTGCATGTGAGAGGTTAGACCAATCTATTATCCTTGTGAGCATAGTTGTGAGCATGCTGGGAACGGTCAAATATGATATATCGCGGTAGGAAACGGACATTATAGCCACCCGCAAGAAGTCGGCCAATCATTCTGTGAAACCAGACTACAATGTATGCCAGCCTCGTAGAGTGCGGTCATGCCCATTAGCCGTGAGCTCTTGTATGAGGCTCCCTACCATTTGCTGCACATCGATGCTTGCCTAGTCCCGAGTCTGCAATCCATGGCAAGAAGCGGTAACTATTTTTTTAAAAAGCTTAAATAATTAATAATAAATCTAACAAAATACTTGGATTATAATAATAAATACATAAAATAACTAATATTATAACCAATTAGCTTATTTTAAAAAGTGGGTCCTTCTAGCTTATTATAAGCTTAAAAACTAGATTATGTAACTTTTTAAAAACACACTATATTATACTATACTATAAAAACTATAAAATGTAGTTTTTAAAGTTTTAAGCTTATAATAGTATATAAGGACTTACCTTTTTTAATATTTACTTTAATATAAAATTTATACTAGTTATTCG